AATTTACAGAGAAAAATGTTGATTTTATTCTATAATAGTGAGAGTGACTACAGAATATCGATAACATTTTTTCTAATTGTAAGTTAATTTTATCATTAAAAATATGTTGATTTTACACCAAATTTATTTCAAATTACTGAAATTTATATTCATTTTGTGTTGAAATATTGACATAGTATTAGTGTTACGATTTAACATATCCACAGGGTATTTACTCCCTGGGAAAACCTAGAAAATCTGGAATTCTCAGGAATTTCGTTTTTACCTTGAAAAATCAGGGAATTCTCATGGAATTTCATTTAAATTCAGGGAATTTTTTCAAAAATTCTCTCTTTGATGAGTTTGTTCTTATATTTATATTGCAAGCATCGGCAATCTGATTGGCAAATGAAAAATGCTTATCTTACAAAAATCATTCAGTTCTTTTCAGTATATTTTTAAATTTAATATTTAGAATTTAAGTGGTTTATTTTTCCTTTGTATGAATGAAAAGAATTAGAAAAAAACACAAAAAAAACTTATTTTACAAAGTTCCATCTAAAAAAATTCTATAATTTTATCTTGAATATTGAACAAATTACCTGAAAAATCAGGGAATTCTCAGGAAATTTTTTTATAAATTTTGGATAGACACACTGTATCCATATAATGGTAAATTAACACAAAAATTTATGTGGACCGTTTGAGACATGCGATATATGTTAAATTTCAGCCAAATTTTCAAACTGTGAGAATATGTATCTGAATCGTATTTAGGTCGCGTCTTACGCAAGATGCACTGTGACTGACATTTGCATTGTTGATCATTGAAACGCGGTATATACAAATGTTAAGTTCTAAGTAACAAATAGTCGGCCAGTCGGAACCGATGATAAAGATATCGCCCATTGTGCCACGGTTGTATTCTATTTTGCGGTAGAGTAGATGATGCGTTGATATTTTACACGACTGCCGTCTCTGGCGCGTCCGCCTCTTGCGGAGGCGCATATTATATCCCGTATAGGTTAAACCAACCCGCCTACCTGCTCGACGTGTTCCAATACCTGGCAACGATATGTCAACAACTACTTTCAACTCCGCGTTCCGCCAGCTCCGCGATTTAATCCCGCACGTTCATAGAATGGCGTTTTATATCCCCGGCGATATAGGACCGCGTGTGCTCGCTGACACCGTGTCGTTTTTACATCATGGTAATATGTGACATTTTCAATAGCGTATTCGATTCTCGGAACAATATAACATTGCAAATAAATAATAATCTCCTGAGACTCTATTCGTTAAACAAATGGAACAATGGGAAGAGGAAGGTATTCTAATTAGTGTTAACTCTAAGAAAATCATTGAAAGACAGTTCTTGGAATAATATTTTTCCTTCTACTGCGCGGAACTGTCATTTTTCGAATAAAAGTTATACACTACGAAAACAGCGTATTATTTTTCATCTATGATATATAGCTTTCCCGGCAGTTTCTTTTTATTAAAAAAAAGGCATATAAAAAAATATTGTTATTCGAAGCTCTCTCTCTCTCTCTCTCTCTCTCTCTCTCGCATTTAAAATTCTTCTCTCTTCTATTCCAGATTAATCAAGCAATGTATCATTTAACTTTTAACTTTAATATGGGAAAAGTGAGATATTCTCTCTACACTCAAAAAAGTGGTATTGCAACTACAGCAAAAATTTTCTTGGTGCGCAAAATTAACTGAGGTACATAAATGATTAGCAAATACTGTGATATCGCATATGTTTCGCATTTAATCAATCTAAGTGACAGAGACAGAATTTATATCTGAACTGTTTGTGAAATTTAGAAAGAATGTTTTTCTGTGGCGCCTATCCATGTTAAGGCCAATCATACTTGTTATAAAGTTTGGCTGTGGTAGACAGAAAAAATTAGCGGCAAGAAACAAATGAATATATAATCCTCACGTCTAACATATTTGTATAACGCGCTCAATCTATCTAGCTCTTTTAAACAATTTTTCTCAATTTTTCGATGCTGCAGTTATAATTGGCAGTTATATTTCTCACAAAGATTGTTCTAGCTGTAGTATCGAAACTCATATTTATCCAATGCAGTGATTAACATTTGGCAATGGGACCTAAATTTTCTAGAAGATATTATTAGAATATTGCTGCTATAAATTCTATATGTAACAGACAATATTCTAACAGATACAAAAAATAGCGATAAAGTTTTGTTGTGACACCTAGAAATCTACCTATATCAGCAAGACATTTTTTTGAGTGTATGCATTTATTTTGCGGAATAATTATAATTTTGGAAGATATTTATGAAAAGATGTAAACGATAAGAGGATAGAAAAGCGTAAATGGTTTCGAGAAAGTATCAAATAGCTCCGTATCAACTTTTTACACGATTTTTTCAACAATCTCTTTAATTCAAACCGTACCTTTCCAGTTTGCTGCGCACCGTCAGTCTCCGTTAGATTGCGATCCATATTTTTTTCTAGTCGCGTTAAATGGAAATGTACGCGTATATATATTTACATATGTAGCAAAATGATCCGAGCAAAATGTACACTTGCTACTTTCCGCACAAGATAAATTGTGTACAGTACTCAGCTGGAAAATTTGTCTTAACATAAATTTAACATAAATTGTATGTCTCAAACAGCCCACATAAATTTTTGTCTTAATTTAATATAATATGGATATAAATGCTAACACTAAAAAATGTTAATATATCAACACAAAATGAATGCAAACTTTAGTAATTTCAAATAAATTTTGTAAAATCAACATATTTTTAATGATAAAATTAACTTGGAAAAAATGTTATCGACAGTCTGTAGACTGTATCTCCTAGACACTTTCACTCCTATTGTAGAATAAAATCATCATTTTTTTCTGTAAATTTTAACAGATAAATCCTGTAACTTAAAATACGAAACATATCTATTGTATAAAATTAAAAACATATGCAAAAATATTGTGTTAGTTTTGTACTTTTTCTTATTCTTAGTTGTTTTGATAATTTAATTTCCAAGTTGTGAATTTCACTTTAGAGCCTTATCAATTTTCTTAATTTATTAATAATTTAACATTTGAGTTCAATTAACGCAACAGCAATACGGTAAATTAACACATGAATGTGTTAAATATTTAACCAAAATTTTAACCGGCACATTTTTTTTTCTTAACAAGAAAACAAATTTTCCAACTATGTTCTAAAGTACTGGATATTTTTTTCTCTCTTTTGTTACAGATTCTTTGGCTAATTTAGTATCGATTTTCCTTCAATGAGAATTCCTTATTTTATAGGATATTTATAATTTTACTACTAAAAACATATGGAATTTTTAGTATACTACATTCTAACAAGAAAACATAAATTTTCCAATTGTATACGCAGAGATGGTCTCGGCTCTGGCATTGCACGTCATCCGGTGCGCCGCTGTGGGAAACCTGAAGTCTCCTTCTCCGACGGAGGAGCCTTCAAGGCTCATTAACTCCAGAGATAGCGCGTTATGCCGGATTACGCTGTCTCTTCGTTAGCGCACTTATTGCGGTCTGCTGGTGTGCGTCCGGTTACGTGTGGATGTTGGTATACTCGTCGATGTACTCGACTCTGCCTGAGACGGCTCTGTTATCCAGGATGCACGCACACGTATATGGGATTCGATGTAGTCGATTGATATCGCAAAGTCCCTTGGAACGATTTCTTTCGGATTGGCGTCCGTTAATGGAGTCGTTTATTTCAATTTTTTTTTTTTTAGGAATCAGCAGGACAGGGTATTCCGAGGAATGTTCTGTTACTCGATTACAGCGTATTTTCAGATAAATTTTATACATATCTTAGATGCATTAAGTATTTTATGGGAGTAAGAATATAGCGTGGATCTTAGATTCAGGCTCAGCGTCACTTGTCTTATAATGCTTGATAAGTCCGCCGCCATTTATGGTTACGTGAAACGTAGTCATAAATGTAACTTTAAGTGAAATTTAATTTATTCGAGCTCTGAAAAGGTCCGTCACCTGAAACGTCCCGAATAAAAAGCTTTTAATTGGATTGAACAATTCGTTGGAGATTGCCTTCTCCTTTGTACTATCATAATTTCTCAAATCCATTAATCAAACGGAAAAATAAATCTATGAAACAGTGAGAGAGAGAGAGAGAGAGGTTTAACTCGTTTTGCAAGTAGGTAGTCGCGAGATATGTAACGAACGCGCCGGAGAAGAAGAAGAGGAAGACCGAGTACGAGAAGTGGCTTGCGCGCGCGGCTCGATTCCTCGTTGGTGGTTCGCGGGGTTAAATATACCCTCGTTGGTCGCATCATATACAGATGTGGTAGATCGAGAGAGGGAAAAGAAAGAGAGAGAAAGAGAGAAAATGGAGTGAACAAGATAGAGACATGTATATGTATGCACGTACAAACATATGCGCGCTCGTCGAAGCGAAAACGGGACGCGCGAAGAAATACGAAAGAGGGAGAGGAAGAAGAAGTCGTATATAGAAGAAGAGAAGGAGGAAGAGAGAGAAGAAGAAAGATAGAGAGGGCGAAAAAGAGAGGGAAGAAGTCGAGCTCTGCTATTACAGAGCACCTCCGTAGCCGCGACGCACAGCCCAATATGGAGCAATCTCAGATTTCCATCCGCCCAAATCGAGAATATACACGCCCGCGCCTCCGCTTGCTCCTCTTGTGGAGGGCTGGTCGTTGTCGTCTTCTTCGTCGTCGTCGACGTTTCCTCCCCGTTTCCCTCGGCGGAGGTGTAGACGTCGCTCTCGGTGGAGTTGTCGCTCTTGTCCACTTCACTCTCGTAACAGTGCCAAAAGTGCCTCAAAACGCTTCACTTCGTACTATCGGTCCCATTTTTTTCCTCTCTCTCTTTCTTTTTCTCTTCGTTTACTCGCCACCTTCTCATTTTCCTCTCGCAAAGTACCCTCAAGTTCCTCTTTTCATCCCGAAGGAATTTCATCCACGTGCTCGGCGCGTTTCTCGTCCTCCTCCTCCTCCTATCTTCGATTCCATTTGAAGTATCCCTCGATACGGCTGCCAAGAGGCCACGCGAGAAGAATCGATCGCGTGGGCGATCGCGAAGCATCGAACGATTCGATTGAGCGAAGGTAATTAATCGAGGTTTTGTGATTGTGCACGACGATGATTGTCGTATCATCCGGTTCGGTGGTGAATCGATCGTGCGCGAAAATCATCGCAGCCAAGTAGAGGACGCTCGACGAACGCGTGCTTTTCTCAGGAAGAAGACTCGCCGAGAACGATACGTTCATGTTGCCGGAAAGCAACTTTCCCGTCACAGGTAATCGACGGCATTTACAATAACAATATCGTACATATGTGCCTTAGGTACAATCATGAGTCTTTCTTGTGTTGTGTTTTTTATAGCGTTTTTTTTTTTAAATCACGTAGTGAAGCTTCCAGAGGCGAGACAATCTCGAAAAAAATCGTCTTTGCCCTTGCTCGTGAGATAGTGTCGGAAAAAATCTTTGATCGTTTCGTATGATCGCGAAAAGTGAAATGCACGAGTGACGAGAAGTAAAATTTTCGTCTTCTTTGCGTTTCTTTCTTTCTCTGTTTTTATTTCTTTCATGCGCACCGTCTCCCGATATTGTTGCTGATGTCTTTGCTTCGTTGATCCTTGATTACGAATTTTCACATGTATTATTAACGTTATATAATATTCGAAGCATTTGTAATATTTGAAAAAAGAATATCCGAAAAATCTTCGGCATTTATTATAGTACTATACGCTAAAATGTGAAGCATATCATATTTCTCTCTTTTTCTATTTTTCTTACGAGAAATAGAGAGAAAATATTATGGTAAGTGTTATTATAAATATCATATGCAAATTAAAAAAAAATGCTGAATATTCTCATTATATTGATATATAAAAAATGTTATACAAAAATAATTTTTATATGTTATATAAAAATTATATATGGAATTTAAATAAAATTCTTGGTATACATATATATGCATTATTTAATAATGATAATGTATAACAAATGATATATGACAAATATATTTTTGGGTTTAATATTTAAGATTTTTTTATATATAATGTTTACTATTTTTTCATATTGTCTTTTTTCCGATCAAAAAGCTTTCACGAATAGTTTGACGATAGATCACCTGCTGTCCACGTGGGACACCACCACCAGTCGCCGCGCGATTCGCACTCGGATGTTTATACGTAATTGCGGATCTATAGCGGCGAATCATAATCAGGCCAGTGGATCACGGTCCATCGATGCACCGTGATATATAAGCGAATCGATTTATGTGACGCGTTTACGTATGAGCGATCACTGAACTCGTCAAATTTATCCATGTTAAATAACGAGATCGAAATTATTTTGGCATTTTATCTTTCTTGATTTTTCTCCAGATAAAAAGAATGTTTTCCAAAGATTTTTTTCTTCAGCCATTACATCACCTTGACACATTCTCGAGTATCGCGACTAACTTTCCGTTTTTAACCTAGTTGCGTCTCTGCCAATAGAACGCGGGAGCACATGCTTTCCCGCGAAACAAATATGCGCTCCAATTCGTCCACTTGTTACCTGCGTGAATACTAAAGTTTGACGCAGTTTGACTACCGGAAAGATGAGAATAAAATTGAGAGAGCATTGTAAATATTTTTATATCTTTATCACTGAAGAATATTGAGTTGTAAATAGGGAAAACATGCAGAAACATATTTTATAAATGACTTGTATTTTTTTACAAGTTTTTTCGAAAAGAAAAATGTCACTTTCTGGCCGATGTTTTAAACTAATTAATATCCTGGATAATATATCCGAAGCTTATATATGATTATATATATAAGCGCGCACGACGAATGCGCTTTAGCGATCATAAAAGCAAAAGTATAGCACGATACCGTCAACCATAATCCTAAATATGGAGTGAGAAATTTGAGAGAACCGAAAATAGTGGCGGTACGCCAACCGCTAAAAATAGCCAAAAAATAAATTGTAGTTACGCGTTCGCCTGCATCATTCTATAACTGGTCTTCAATGAAAACGAGCCACCTCCCGCACATACCGATATTAATATCTTCCAATGGTCTTGCTTTTTGCCACTCGTATGTGCAAAATTTTTTGCATTTTTAAAAACCATTAAAGATTTGAGTCGCGATTTTTATTTTATTAATTTTAAAATCATATTCTTACAATTTTGTAACTTAAACACACTATGAAATCTCTAGAATTTGGAATCTTGAATTTTTAGAAAATTTTTCTCCTTTTTCTCTCAAAATTTTAAACGTACAAATTTTATTTGAAGATCTTAAAATGTTCGAAACTGTGTATTTAATATGTTAATTTTTTTTTTCAAAATTTTGTGAAACTTTATGCTTTTCAATAATCTTGCTCTATTTAAACCTTTTTTATGGCCCTTTAAAATTACAAAAATTTCAAAGCTTAATTTTTGGAAATATTTGTTTTCAAAAACAAAATTTACGGATCTAGATATTTTTCTTAATAAATTTTTACATTACTTATTGCGGGTGTGTTTTAATTCTAACAAATATAAGATTCCAAATCGCAATTTGATCGCGTGTTTAATTATTGCTCGCTAGTCTGGACGAGTAAAAGAGTATCTTTTTTTTTTATTTTGTCATATTTAAATGACGGACCTAGGACTTTCTAAAATTTACTTCCGCAATATTATTTTGAAATCTACTTGCAATCGAATTGACACATCTACCCTTATGCGAATATGGAAAGTTCATGTTTCTGATTTATTTTGTAATAGTCTTAGAGAGCTCTGTATATTGAAATCTTTCTTTGAAATAAATTGTAACACATAAAGGTAGATTATCGCGAGACGATGAAACCTAATCGATTAAGGCCAAGTATGGCTCAGAACTTGCGGGTGTTGGGTGGGTTATACCGGAGTGTGTCCGTTTCTATTTATGCGCGGAATATTTTTATCCGACGATGTGCTGCGAAGCGCAGTATGTATAATACTTCTCTTCGTCTCTTCTCCACGTTTCCTCCTTTCTCTCTTTTTATTTCTTTTATGCGCATCGTCTCCCGACATCGTTGCTGACGTCTTTGCTTCGTTGACCCTTGATTACGCAAATTCTCACATTGTGTTGTTAACGTTATATAATATTTGAAGTATTTGTAATATTTGAAAAAAGATATCTGAAAAATTTTCGACATTTATTATATTTACTATACGCTAAAATGTGAAGCATATCATATTTCTCTTTTTATTCTCTCTATCTATTTTTCATAAGAGAAATAGAGAAAAAATATTATTATAAATGTTATTTATAAATATCATATGTGAATTTAAAAAAATTGCTGAATATTCTCATTATATTGATATAGAAAAAAATATTATTTTATATATTATACAGAATTTAAATAAAATTCTTGTTATATATATGTCTTGTTATACATATATGTATATTATTTAATAACGGCAATGTATAACAAATATATTTTTTAATTTAAGATTTTTATATATGTATATAATACGTATTATCTTTTTATATGTATATAAATCAAACGATGCAGCAATTATAAGTAGCCGTCTGAGAATCTTGGAATCTTGGAAACATCCGCCGTGCGAATGATATCGTTTTACGAATGTGAATTATTGCGAACTACAATTATATGATCGTAAAAATTATTACGATGATACAGCGAATTTCAGTCAATTCGATGATGTATTATTCAACGAAGTGTGCAACAGGTGTCTGTCGAATGAGACGGGCCGTTTCACGTGGTGTTCTAATAGCGAATCTTTCTCGCGTAAGCGTTCTCGCTGCTTTTGCTATTGTGCGATTTCGAAGCCTTGAACCAACACGCGGTCGCCTACGCGATTCACTGCCTCGATGGTGCAACGACGCGGCTATATCGCGCGTTTTATTATCGTTTATCCATTTCTACATGAAGCATTTGTTTAGCCTCTATGCCATTTCTCACGCCCGTCAAATCTATGCAACGCGCAATTCGCGCCGCGCCGCACGCGGCATTAATCCAACGCTCATTAATACACAGTGGTTATGAATTATTCCGCAATCCGCTCGCACACCGGCAACGATCACCGGCTTCGACGCCGGCCTACGCACAACCTTTCGCGTGGTTCTCCTCGCATGCCGAAATAAGAAAGTGGAAGCTGTTCGCACACGCCGGCTACTTCCGACCCCGTTTCTCGTTCTGTCAAAATTAAGAGAATACGACTTCATTAATAATTAATGAAGTCGAGCATTCGCTTTGACAAACGTCGCTCTTAAGTCAATTTATAACGAATAATTTCCGAAACATTTAATTTTAAGTTTCATACAATTTTTCAGCCACAACCGCGATTGAAAATATGTATATAGATACTTGCATATGTATATGAGATGCAGGAGACGTTGAAAAGAAAAAGATTTTTTTTTTAGATATTGGATGATTGCATAAGTTCGTGCCCGATTTTCATAGATTCTCTTTACAACGTACGCTATCGTCCTACGAAAATTGAAGCCGATTACAATGTCTTAGAAATTCTGACATTCAAGACGAGCTTTCGTAATTGAGTGTCAAAGTATACTTAAAACCGGCAAGTGTGTTTTGGAAACTATTTGTTAAGTCGTACGTGAGAAAATTAGCATGTGGTACTTTCTCATTTAAAATCTGGACGTATACTGAATGTATTCGAATGCGCGAAATGGGATAAACTCTAAATCCGCATATTTGAATTTTCAGGGGGCACTATGCAGACTGAGGAAGTCGTGCCGCGTGCACAGTCTATTGGCATAGATAGTAGTCTGACCGACGGCGCCGGTCTGCAGCATCATTTGCATCACTCGTCGCATTTACACTGTCCGTTACCGCCCGTGATCCACATGGCCGTTAAGCAGGAGCCTCAAGAGGAGGAAGAGCGAAGTCGCGATGCGAGTACGTTGAGGTGAGTTATGAATCTCCTTTCGAGTCTGACATGACATATACATACCTTCGCACACTAAGAATAAAATTATTTTTAATCAAATAAATATATTTTGTTAATTTTGATTTTTTTACTTAAATAAATATATACTTTGTTTCCAAAAATGTTTTGTTATATTAAATAAATTATTATTTGCATGTAAGAAAGAGATTACAATTTAAAAAACACATTATTTAAAACTTTAACATAAAAAAAAAAATTTATATATTTGAAGATAAAAAATTATCTGTTAAAATAAAGAAAATCCGTGTTTTTGAAACAAGCAGTCAAAAAGTAAAAAAATGTTTTTTTTTTTAAGGAAGTAATTTAATATAATAAAGATAAAAAAACAAATTTTTTTTTATTTGTAAATGAAAGCATACTTTACTTTCATTTTATATTTTATTAATTCAAATATATTTGCTGCTTGATTGAAACAATAAATTCCTTTGCAAGTATTTAAATAAATAATTTTTTTAAATAAGAAAAAATTTTTGTATTTAGTACATTTTTTTTCAGTGCATACATATATCGATCAGTTTTAACATTCCAGATGAAAATCTCACATACTGAATAATATATGAGATATTTTTCCGTCTCCAAATCGTACATTATAATTTTGTTAATGTTTCGGGTTTTTTTTTCTCGCGGAAAATTGATGACAATAATTTAATATAAAATAATGATTTAAGCACATCGATGAACGAAAATCTCTTGTGATTTTGATAGTCCGCAAGTGGATGCGATCAACGCCGCGGGTTCGGTGGACAACAAGCAAGTCGGCCATTATCAAATTCAAGGACTGGAGGATAATCCAACGTTAGTTCCAGATGCTAACAACCGAGGACGATCCAGGTAATTTATAATATTTATCCATCTTGACTTTATTTTTTGCACTCAATATTTTATCAGTAATTAAACAGGAGTAGTAATAGAGCAATCGAGTTTGATATCAATGATATAAAAATTGCTTGCGATTATCTTAAAATCGATATATAGAATTAAATGTTATATTTACATTTATATATATGCAACAGATCAAAAATATTTCCGTCCTTTTGGGCAAACTTCATATTGCGTTTGGGAAACGTGTTTCGCGACGGCTTATATTGTCACGTAGCGCGATTGGCGACAACGGCTATCGGCTCCGGCTATCTCGTATCTTACCCTTGCCATGTCACTAACGACGTCTTTAACGTAGAACCGGCTGCTTGTAACCAGGAAAGTGCTTTAAACGATCATCCGCTGGCGTCGTTCGCAAGAAAGACAGGCGCCAGGAAACTGGTTCGAGCAAGTCTTGTAAAGAGGCGCGCGCGCGAACGCCCGGAAAAAAGGATTCGCGGATATACGTCAACGAGACGCGCCGGCAAGAGAGATCATCGTTATTATTGAATTTCATTAAACGATCCGAGCAGAGCGGCTAGAGCAGAGGAAGCGCGAAATACGTTCTTTGCATAAAGCGCCCGTCTAAGGTGTGGTCCGGAATGCAGTCGCCGGCGTTAATGAAGAAACGATATAACTGCTGTGAGCGCTAGTTTAAATATGTTTCTCTCTGTCTTTCTACATTGAAAATTACTAAAATTTACTAAATAGAAAAAAGTTTTTTTTTATTTAAAAAGAAATTATTTATTGCAAAGGAATTAGTTTTATTTTAATCAAGCAGCAAATATGTTTAAATTAGTAAAATATAAAATGAAAGCGAAGTATGCTTTTATTTGTAAATAAAAAAAATTGTTTTTTATCTTTATTCCACTAAATCACTTCTTTTAAAAAAATTTTTTAATTTTTGGCTGCTTGTTTCAAAAACACACGTTTTCTTTATTTTAGTAAAGAACTTTTTATCTTCAAATAATAATATTTTTATATATTTTAGAATTTTAAATAATTTATTTTAAAAATTATAATCTTTATTACATGCAAATAATTTATTTAATGTAATAAAACATTTTTGGAAACAAAGTATATATTTTTTTACGTAAAAAAAAGTCAAAATTAACAAAATGTATTTATTTGGTCTAAAAAAATTTTATTTTCAGTGTAGATAATATTATGATATAATATTATTCTTGGCGTGGGACAATTACTCAAAGTAACTTCTAAAAGTACTTTTTCGGCTTTAATAAATAATTTTCTCGTTGAAAAATATTTTCTTCTCTTTAATTTTTGTTTTTAGAAAAAAAAATCTAGAAAAATTTAGAAATTATGAGTCACTTGTAAATTAACAATAATACAATACCAGGGTGTCTACTCCCTGGAAAAACATGGAAAACCTGGAATTCTCAGGGATTTCTTTTATACCTGTAAAAATCAGGGAATTCTTATGGAATTTTGTTGACTTAGGGAATTTTTAAAAAAATTTTCTGTGATAATTTTGCTCTTATACTATAAGCAATAGACAATCCATCAATTAGCAATATTGTGAATTATGTGTTTAAAATATATTACAAATATATATCTATCTCTGTTTATATATTCAATGTCTTAAAAAACAAAATATTTAAAAATCAAAATATTAATAATGCAATACATATTTTTTATTTTAATTTTTTAGTGATAAAAAATACAAATGTTACGTAAGTAAAAAAATATTATTTTAACAAAAGCTATTCAGTTTTATTTCAATACATTTGTAAATCTACCACTTGAAACTTAAGTGGCTTTGTTTTTCCTTCGTATAGATGAAAAGGATTAGAAAATATGTATAACAAAAAAACTTATCTTAGGAAATTTCATCAAAAAATGTTTAAAATATTCTCTTTGTCTGGAATTTTGAACAAAAATACCTAGAAGATCAGAGAATTTTCAGGAAAATTTTTTACAGGATTTAAGTAGACACTCTGAATACACAAGAATACACGTGGCGGTCTATGTCACGCCGTATGAGTATATATTAAACTATAGAATCTCGTATATATTTAAATGTTATAGTCGTGGTCGCAGAAAATCGCGATGGAAGCTCAAGTTCCATCATCAGGCACTGCCGCCGGAATACCTGGACCATTATGAGGCGTCGTTGGCCCAGGAAAACCTGAACTCGTCGCCGCCGCGAATTGTCATCGAACCAGCGGCACCTAGCCCGGCACCGACGAGCTCGACCTCCACCCCAAGTCCCATCGCCGACACCCACGGCTGGCTACAGCGGATAGCAGCGATGCAGCAGGAGCTCTGTCCACACGTTGGGTCGGTTCCCCAATGTCCGATTACTCCTGGCCGTGATAATCAAGTCACCAATACCAGAAGATCCGTTATCACGTCCGCGTCCTCGCAGGCCTACTCCAATGCGCCGTATCCCAATCATCATACTCAGCAGACGCATTCGCAGACATCCAGCAGGCCGCCGATGAAGTATTCCGATCTTCCCTACATGGGCGAGATCACCCTCGACAATAGCAAGCCTAGACGCGGCCGGAAGCCGAAGAAGGCTGACATCTGCCATTTGATTTACAAAAATTATGGCACCATACTGCCGGGTACACCTGGTCACGAGGAGAGAAGACTGTCGCCCCGAGAGAAACAGGATTCTCAGGATCGCATATCGCCTCACGTGCCCTTTCAGAGGACGGACGTGCAAAACAAAATCAGCAGTCTGTTGGAGAAGCGGTTGACTCAGGAGACCCGACGGAGCTTTGCCGCGCTGTCTGAGAGCGCGCGGGAGCAGGATGAGCCGTTGAACCTCTGCATCAGAGATCTCAATCAGTTGAAGATTCGATTATTGCGGAAGCATGGAAACGTCTACGAGTCCGGTCAGATGAAGAGCGAGATGTCTAGCGATGGTGAAGAGGTGGAGTGTCTTGGAGGCGCTTTTTTATCGGAACCGATCAACTACTCGGAGTCGATGGTCCATCGTTCGAACAACAATCTCGTCAATCATAATAATAACGTGATTGATCCGATGATCGGCCACAACTCTGGCTTTGTGTATTGGCCAAACACTGGTGTATTCATTCACCCGATGGCCCTGCAGTCCCAATTGCTGTATTATCAGAAGGTGGCCCAAGGTGATAAATGTTCGCTGCGGCCGACGGATCAAGCACCGAGGGAGCAGAAAATTGTGCCCAAGTCAATATATTCGATGATGGAGACGAAGAGCATACCTCAAGCGTCGGCGCTGCCTGTGTCCCAGGCGACGCCGACACCGACGTCGATCACCGCACCGCCGTCACCCAGACCGAAGAGGAACGCTCCTCTAAGTCAGCCGCAGAGTCAACCGACTAAGCGGAAGCGCTCCGCCATATTTATACCACCGATGCCGGCGGAAAACAACAACAATCCGGCGACAGAAGTGAGTATATGCAAGTTTAAGTTCACCGGCGGTGCCAAGCCTAGCCTGCAGGAGAAGAAGAGTCTCTCCGTGGACTCGGGCGGTAACTTCCGCTATTACAGTGGCACCGGCGATAAGAGCATGCGCGGTTACGAGTTCTTTCCCAGAGAGGCTCTTCAGCAGCCGGCCGGCCAATCCGGGACAACCTCCGCCGCCGGTGCCTTTCTCAGCGCCACCGGCGAGAGAATCCAGTCCCCGATAACGTGCCAGAGAAACCCGGTCGGCCAGGACGACGGACGACGAAAGAGAAAGACCAGGAAGTCCCTGCAACGCGAGAAGCTGGAACAGACCTTCAAAGAAAAGGGCTTTCTCATTCAGACGCAGCAGCTTGAGTCCGCAGAGGGTGCCACGTACTGCAAATTTCGACAGCTCAGGAAGTTCACTAGGTATCTGTTCAGAAGCTGGAAAGACTATTTGCCCGGTAATGTGCGCGAACTAAGCGGGGGTAACGGCGGGAGCGGTGGCGCCGCAATAAATGGCGACGCGATCGACCTTGACGTCGTCGACGGGGACGCCGCTGTCATTCCCTCCCCCCCGCTTCCTCGCAGCAACCTCTTGGATGTGCCGAACAGCTTCGTGGAGGATCATCAGACTTTGCCCCTCACGTGAGACTTGATATTCGCGACGCATTATCAACCAATGAACATAAGTCATGATACGGTACGACGCATATTACTCCTCTATTGTTGAATCTGTTTTCCTTCTGTTTCTTTATTTTGTGGAAACATTTTTTCAAACTACATTTATAATTGTAAAATTACAAATTCTGCTTAACCGTCTTTAAATTTACATTTTTGAAAACAAAAATTATTAATTATTTTCAAAATATCTTTTTCAGATTTGTGAACCTATAGATAACTTTGTAACATATATATTGCATCTTTTTAAAAATACTAGAAGATAGAAATTGTATGTTATATATAAAAGTTATGAAGAAAACTATGAAAATCTTTATAATCAACACTGTTTAGAATTTGTATTTAAAACAATTTGAAAGTTAACTCTCTATTCAATCGTACGTTATTTATATGTACAACAATATACAGAGTGTTTTAGATCAGATCAATGAAATTTTAGGATCTTATAAAAAATTGAATTTGAAACAAAAAAGTTACGATAAACATAGGTCCAGAAACGCTTCGTTAAAAAGTTATAGCTAATTCCTATAAGACTAGTTATGAAGTTTTATTGATCTGACCTGGAAAACCTTGTATATTTAAAATTTGAAAGTTAATAAATATTCGCGCGTAATATAAAGCGAAGATGTCGCACGTTTATACCTTATTTGTATATGATGAAAATTTTAAAATTTAGATTTGATACACAATAGAGTATCGTGTCATGATGCGCGTCACGAGGATAGGGCAAACTGGATTACAGCTTTGTGCCAAAGATGAGAGAGACTGGACTATGTGTGTATGTATATATATTCCGGTCTAAATTATACCCGCATATGTCCGCGATAAAGAACAGGTTAACCAAAGAGTGAAATTTTGTGCTCGCCATATCTTGGAACCGGAGGGAGGGGAGAGATAAATCGTGTTTAGACTAATATCGGACTCAGCGATGCATTTGGGGGTGGTATCGGATGAAAATATGAAACTTGCAATGATACCACGTCGCCACGTCATATTTTTCTAAGCGAATCGTTTAACGATAAATCTAGTCTTATTTATATATTCTTGTTATAAAATTGTAAACATGTTTTCTCGTTTTTACATCGGACGGATATTTACATGCATAGCAATGCCTTCCGCGTAGCAGTGTTATTACAGCGTAGTGCATACTGCAGGTACAAAAAAAGAAACGGGCAAGCTTATATATATATATTGTATATATATATATATATATATATATACAATATATATATATAAGCTTGCCCGTTTCTTTTTTTGTACCTGCAGTATGCACTACGCTGTAATAACACTGCTACGCGGAAGGCATTGCTATGCATGTAAATATCCGTCCGATGTAAAAACGAGAAAACATGTTTACAATTTTATAACAAGAATATATAAATAAGACTAGATTTATCGTTAAACGATTCGCTTAGAAAAATATGACGTGGCGACGTGGTATCATTGCAAGTTTCATATTTTCATCCGATACCACCCCCAAATGCATCGCTGAGTCCGATATTAGTCTAAACACGATTTATCTCTCCCCTCCCTCCGGTTCCAAGATATGGCGAGCACAAAATTTCACTCTTTGGTTAACCTGTTCCTTATCGCGGACATATGCGGGTATAATTTAGACCGGAATATATATACATACACACATAGTCCAGTCTCTCTCATCTTTGGCACAAAGCTGTAATCCAGTTTGCCCTATCCTCGTGACGCGCATCATGACACGATACTCTATTGTGTATCAAATCTAAATTTTAAAATTTTCATCATATACAAATAAGGTATAAACGTGCGACATCTTCGCTTTATATTACGCGCGAATATTTATTAACTTTCAAATTTTAAATATACAAGGTTTTCCAGGTCAGATCAATAAAACTTCATAACTAGTCTTATAGGAATTAGCTATAACTTTTTAACGAAGCGTTTCTGGACCTATGTTTATCGTAACTTTTTTGTTTCAAATTCAATTTTTTATAAGATCCTGAAATTTCATTGATCTGATCTAAAACACTCTGTATATTGTTGTACATATAAATAACGTACGATTGAATAGAGAGTTAACTTTCAAATTGTTTTAAATACAAATTCTAAACAGTGTTGATTATAAAGATTTTCATAGTTTTCTTCATAACTTTTATATATAACATACAATTTCTATCTTCTAGTATTTTTAAAAAGATGCAATATATATTATATATATATATATATATGACAGCGTCGAGATAATTTCGACTCGGCATTACGCACAATTGATTCGTGTCGTCGAACCGTCACATATTTTGGAACAAATATTTGAGCAGCTGTTGATGCAAAATTGCATGTATATTAAAATGCAATTAAGAGATGGTAGGGATATGTTTTACAAGATTCCGGAATTTTTTCTATCGTCTAAATCAACTGACGTTTGTTCGATGATGTTTTGTTTTACAGACACGATTATTGCGCTTACATGTATTAGATTTGTTTAGAAAGATTTGAAACTTCACTGTTGGAAAATTTGTGTTTTTTTTTGTTTGTTATAAAATATGCCAGTTGAAATTTTTGTGTTAAATATCTATACATTAACACATTCATGTGTTAATTTAACACATTGCTTGTGTTAATTGAACTAAAATATTAAATTATTAAAACAATTGAAAAAAGTGTAAAAATAACACAATGTGCACATATTTTTATTTTTACACAATAGATATGTTCCCGTATTATTAGCGACAGCATTTATCTGTAAAAATTTACAGAAAAAATGTTGATTTTATTTTACAATAGGAGTGAGAGTGACTACAGACTGTCAACATTTTTCTAAGATAATTTTATCATTAAAAGTATGTTGATTTTACACAAAATTTATTTTAAATTACTACAAAGTTTGCATTCATTTTGTGTTGAAATATTAACTTAGTATCACTATTTAACATATCCATGTTATGTTAAATTAATACAAAAATTTGTATAATTGTTTGGGACATGCGATATATATTAAATCCAAGCCAAAATTTCCAACAGTGTGGTATAATATCTTGACGAGCTTTGTCTCCAATGCTATCAATGTGAAAAAATAGTTTTATATCAATCATGAATTATTACGAGCGAATGTAGAAATTATTTTCGAATGTTTATAACATTAAAACTTTTTACAATTTTTCAACTGCTTATATGAATGTTCTATTTTTGGCCCAAAATGCAGGAAGACGCGCGAATTTTTTGTCAAAGCGAATCTCTCGTCATACACACGCTCCGCTAAGCAGGATAATTGCGAGTTGAGAACCGTCCATCGTGCTATTGCCTTTTTTCGTATGGCAACATGTAAAATTATTTTATACTTATGCTCATTGTAACGAGATAAAGCCTTATAGCCTGTAATAATTAAACGAATTGTTATTGATATGACATACAACAGTTTATTATTAATAATCCCTTACATGTCGACTTTGATGATACCATTGAAAAGTATTGTAACTGCATTTTGAGAAAAAAGTTCTGGGACATAGTTTTTTGTCCGAACCGCATATACAAAATTTATTGTTTTAGAAAGACAAAAAGTTTTGCGCTCATATATAATTTATATGGATTAATATGTTACTGATACAAGTTTGATTCTAAACTTTTATGAAATTCGAAAAGAAAGAATTTTTTTTATCAATAGGTCTTCCGTAAAGTTACATTCGTGTGGTTACAATATTTTTTTCATTGATGCGATCGATTTGATTTTTCTCTCCTCATATCGTCAAAATAATTTTTATCTTTCGTAATCAATGCTGTATAAGATTGTAAGTCATGCAATTCTAAAGAGTGTGTAAGATGAATTTATGAGCAAAATTTCGACCGAGAGACAGTATCCGTTAATGAGTTCTATGCTCGTGAACAATTGGCAATTCTTCGCCGAATTGTTTTTTTTTCTTTTTAAGAAGCCGCTTTACGAATATTAATTAAACTTGTATCTTTTCGAGATATCTTCTAACGAGATATTGGCTTCATTGATGCGACGCTAGCAGTGGGATGTTTGCGATCGCGAATCATGTTTGCGAGTTTGCTACACGCGGAGAAAGAGACGCACGTAGACCACACATTCGACGCACATATACATAGGATGTCGCACAATTGGCGATCATAATTTTAATACTAAAAGTATACTGCGAGGTCATTCGACTCTTTTTGGTTTCCTTCTTCGGTTTTTTTCTAATGATATTTCTAAGGAGATTGATTCTGATACTTTGGTATTAACAATAGTTTTTCATATCAATATCCTTTTCGAAATTTTTTTTACAATGTTAAGGGCCAAATTCATCAAGTCCGGTTAGATGAACCGACGGTTAAAATTAGCAGGGTGACCAACAGAAAATAGAGGTGAAGGAAAACCAAGCATTTATATCATTTCAGTTGGAACTCTGCTAATTTTAACCGTCGGTTCATCTAATCGGACTTGGTGAAATTGGCCCTAAGAAGGGCTTACATATCTATTAATTAAACAAAGTAAAAGAATTTTACAAGGTATAATTAATGGTGAGATAACTTTTGCGTAAATCTTGGTTGATTAAACGATCGTTGCATTTGGCGACATTTTTATAGAATACGAACAGCCTGTAAACAATTGTGAGACACCTTGTATATACGCACTAGTCAGATACGTACGCGCAATCGGCAGAGTCTGCGTGCGTGCACCGCATCCCACCGGTTGGTCTCTCCAGAGTGCGTACAGCCACCCATTCATGCATACGGCCATTCATATATCGCGGCCCGGCTCACCTTGAAAGTTTTTTATCATCAGTCGTATGTATCTGTACGGTGCACGCGGGCGTACGTACATTTACAGACATGCATACGCATTAACGTGTGTGCGAAAAAGAAAAATCACTCATCGAGGCGATTGTCATACGGATTGCCTCGCACACAGTTGGAAAATTTGTTTTCTTGTTAAAAAATATGTCGGTTAAAATTTTTCTGTTAAATATTCAACACATTTATGTGTTAATTGAACTAAAATGTTAAATTATTAAAACAACTGAAAAAAAAGTGTAGAAATAATACAATGTGCACATATTTTTAATTTTACATAATAGATATGTTCCGTATTATTAGTGACAAGATTTATCTGTTAAAATTTACAGAAAAAAAATGTTGGTTTTATTTTATAATAGAAGTAAGAGTGATTACAGATCGTCAATAACTTTTTTCTAAGTTAATTTCATCATTAAAAATATATTGATATTAAAAAAATTTATTTCAGATTACTATGAAGTTTGCATTCATTTTGTATTGAAATATTAACATAGTATTAATGTGTCACCATTTAATATATCCATATTATGTCAAATTAACATAAAATTTCGTGAACCGTTTAGAACAGACGATATATATGTTAAGCTTAATATAAATTTTTCAACTGCGCAAGTTAAAAGCTCACAAGTTATATAAATTTATTTTTTCGATTACTTTTTAAAAATCTTTGATTTTAAACTCTAAAATAGAACAATATTTGTCAAAGAAAATTCGTACAATCAAAATCTCTCTTATCATTTTGTCGCTTTCGCGAACTGTCATCAATGGGGAAAGATGAAAAACGGAAGAGAGGAAAGAGGGGAGACAGAGCAATCTCGTTGTTGTCTTCGTCGTCGGTTGTTGGTCGTTTGGGCAAGCCGGATACAATGGCTGCAAGTTTCCTAATACGGGCACGGCGCGACGCATGCCGAAAAAAGAGGAATTTTGGCAAGCACGAAGAGGTCTGAGAAGAATCGGATGCGCGTTAGAATGTGCTCTCTCTCTTTCTCTCTCTCTCAGTGCAAAAATTTAATAATCGCATACGACAAAAGCAGACCACCTGCCGTTCCCATCGTTGAGGTGAGCGTTTTCTATCTCGACGGACGGTAGAAAATGGTGGGACACCTCTTGCTTGTAGACGCGTAACCTGTTTGCGTTTATGAAAATATAGAGAGAAACCGTTCTAGAGAAAGAAAGAGAGAGAGAGAGAGAGAGAGAGAGAAAAAGAGAGAATGGAGGAAGGTAACTTATATTTTATTCGTATTTTTTTATGAAAGGAAAAAAAGAAAAGTATACGTGAAAAAATGACGTTGTCGCGAGTAGATTCGTAAAAACTTTGTCTTCCTAATCCTCTATGAAGAATATTTTCGACGTCACAAGTTTCTTGACATTATTTCACATAGAATATCCTCTGACGCAACGTTTATCTCGTCTACATTTTTTAT